CCTGATGTGGGCTCCCAGGAAACCAAACAATTGCGGAGGTGGAAATTATTTTCTATTCATGAATGTGAGCATGTGACACACCGAATTGGATCATGAAATCTCATATAAAGAATTTGGATTTGTACGGTATATATGAGGATAATAATGAAAGAAATGTCTCACATCAATGATAAATAAAATCCTAAGCTTCGTTGTTCAACAAGTGAATTCAAATTTTTAGATTCTTTAATATCTTGATGTTAAACTAAAAAATATTGGTTTATAATTACTCTTAATTATTTAATTTTTTGTCGGTTTGCTTCACGGGTGTGATTAGCAAGGGATAATCATTCATTTTGTGGCATGTATAATTAATAATTACTAGTGTATTTGTCCGCGCTTTGCGTGTGTATAAAAAAATATTAAATATATTTTTAAATAATTAATGTTATTATTTGATAAATATTCTAATAAATAATATAATAAAAGGGAGAAACACAAATTAAGTTACGATTTTGATATTATCTATTCAGAAAAATTGTTAAAAAAGTTTCATGCTACAGTTTCAATTTAAAATTGCTGATAAAAAGATGAAAATATAAAATTGATATGAAAAGCTTTAGTTAAATAAACAATCTAATTATCATAGTTTCATACTAAATTTCATGATTTTATAGCAATATTATTGATTCAACCATTAATATTAAATCTACTTTATCGTAAATTATGTGACTTTCTTTTTTTGTATAAATGACTATATAATAGAAATAAGAAAATCAAAATATATTTGTGCTAAATCATCGTGAGGGAAAAAATATTTGAATTATATTCGAACATAGTTATACACAAAATTCAAAAGTTAGAGATTTTTTTTCGATATCCGATGCTCATAGTGACACTCATTTGATACATATTTGTGTCGCATAATGATATCCGATGCACGTAGTGACACTCATTTGATACATATTTGTGTCGCATAAGATCCATTAATATTTTAATTTATATTTAAACTTTCATTCTTATAGTGTGCATTGTGAAAAGAGATACTTAAGTTGCTACAGTGAAACATTACCGTTGAGGTTATACTTTTACAATAAAAATTAAATTAAATTAAACACATAATTTTGTCGTATTAAGATTATCAGATAGTGATGAAGAAATAATTTTTTTACAAAAGATATGAGTATGTAGTGTTCAAGATGTAGAAAAAGTATCAAGAGTTAGATAAATTTTTTCAATTTATATATATATGTGGGACAATAAAAGTTTAACAACATCAAAATAATTATTCCTATTATTACAATTTTATTGTTGTAATTATTATAAATAAATTGGAGCAATAACTCTCCAAAAGATAACTCCATTTTTTGATGTGGGAAAAATAAAATATTTTTTTTACTTTCAATAATAATAAATTTAAACACAAATTTGTTATTAAAGGAATTAAATGATGAAATTTAAAAAATTTCTTGATAAATAAGAGAGTTGAATAAATTATTTTTTAGTATATATATACACACACTTGATTATTTTTAGGGAAAAGGGTCAAAAATATTCTCAATTTTAGTTTATTAGTTAAATATACCCCTATCGTTGAAACAAAGTTATTCATACCATCACCGTTACTAATTTCACCATTTATACCCCTCAATTTACGGAAATTCCTAAATCAAACAAAATTGACCCGATTTCTTAAAAAATGACTCATTTTCCATTTTAAACCTATGACCGACCCATCTATCTATCTTAAACCCAAAAGAATTTAACCCATTTTCTATACCCATTCTAAAAAGAAAATTCATTTGGAGCTACTTGGGAGAATGAATTATAGGTGACAAAAAAGTGTTGAAATGTAAAAAGAGTGACTCTAGTTTTAATTATTAAGTGTACGTGACAAATTTTTAATTAATTTTTAAAAATAATTATATAGGTCCTCAAGTTTTTATTTTTACACTTTCACCCAAATTTAAGTAAACCCCTAATTTCTAAAATAGGAAAACCCCCAAATCAGTTCTTTTTTGTTCTCTCCCAACGTCCCGCTCTTTTCACATTTTTTTTGCTTCTAATCTTCATCACTAGGCGTGACCTGACTTCAAAGACATTGTCGAGCAGCACCTAAACACACAAAAATCGATCCGATCTAAGCACTTTTAGACGAGTATGATGACTCTACTAATGGAGGAAAGAGAAGAAGGAGAGTGGCATCGTGGTCGGCCATGGCCGTTTCCGAAGCAAACTGTCGTCGCCGGAGCTCGAAGCAGACAATTGGAGAGAATCAAAGACATAGATTTTACCCAAATAATTATAACAAAAAAAATTAAACCAATAAAAGAAAATTCACAACCCCACCCCCTGTAATGTCTTCCTCAAAGATCCTACTCATTTGCAGAAACATCTACACACCCCATCCTTCCCTCTAATTTTTTTCTCCAAACTCTCCAATTCCTTTTAGTGCGCACACACCTACACACTATTTCTTTTTTCATCATTTTAGTGTAGTATCTTTATTCACTATTATTAGAATTTAACTTTGTAAGGGAATTGGTGAGATAGGTAAATGTGCTTCTCACAAAGATGTCTGCTTTTTGCAGTCATGCGAAGAGGCAGCGATGATGATGTTCACTTTTTGAGCTAGCTAACTTTGGAATCTGGAGAAAAATAATTTAAAAGGAAGAATAAAAAAAGTTTGTAGAAATGGTGGCTAAAGGGTAAGGAAAATGAGTTAAATTATTTTGGGTTTAAGATAGATAGATGGGTCAGGCATGGGTTTAAAATGGGAAATAGGTCATTTTTTAATAAATCGGGTCAATTTTATTTGATTTGGGGATTTCTGTCAATTGAGGGGTATAAACGGTGAAATTAATAACGGTGAGGGTATAAATAACTTTGTTTTAACGGTATGGGTATATTCAACTAATAAACTAAAATTGAGGGGTATTTTTGACCCTTTTCCCATATTTTTATAATGCCTTTATTTATAGGATAACAATATAAAATATCAAATGATATCATGAACATGACTATTAATATGATTTAAGAGATATGATCAAGTCATGAAAGTAAGGAAAATAAAGACAATTAAATATCAAATGATATTATGAACATAATTATTAATATAATTTAGGAGTTATGATCATCAAAAGTCATGAAAATAAAAACAATTAAAATTTTCTATTAAAAAATATAAATAAATGAAGGAATATAATTGACATATTCATTTTTGTACAACAATAAGATATATATAAATAAGAAAAATTATCAAAAAATGAGAAAAAAAGAAGATAAATATGATTCTTGGCCAAAAAAATGTGTCACGTCACTTTTCTTTTATCTAGATAATTTATATGTTGGTAAAGAAAGTAGATTGAGAGAGAAAAACAATTTTACTAAGTCGTTTATATCCTAATCAAGTCTAAAAATACCCCTCATTCATCTATTGAGCTAAAAATACCCCTCCATCCACCTTTTTGGTCCATCTCTACCCCTTAAAAACTAACAACTACTTTTTAAAAATTATTATTATTATTATTTGTTACGTGTCATTTTCTTATTGGATAATTAAATCTCAACCCATTTAATTTTCCCCTACCCACCCATTGTAGTGAACATGATCAAACCCAATTAGAAGACCCATTAAAAATAATTGATTGAAACTTTCTCCCCTAACCCCAAGCCTCTTTCTTCTTCCCTCTTTTCTTATTCAAAAATTTCAAGATAATATTCAATCAAATAATACAATTTCCGCTGCAATACTAACTTGAAGTTGAAGGATTCAAGGAGTATTGATTTTTGCAGTCTTCTTTCCATCACGTAAAAAAAACTACACCAAAATCTATCAAAATTGCACCTGAGCTATAACAAAACAGAAGCAAACCTGCACCTATATTATACCACAAACTAAATCAAAACTGTAAAGAAACAGAGGCCAAAAGGCAATGAAAGTGCACCATAATGAGATTAAAAACTGGACCAAAATTTGATGATAAACAGCACCAAAGCTGGTCCAAAAACGAAAATAAAAGTGGTTCAAATTTACTTTATTAACGATGGAATACATTACAATGAAATTTACGAATTATTCCAACTCCTTAAACGTAAGAATATTAATCAAACTAAACACAATTTCACTATCATACCAACAATAATAGTAATTATAATTAAGAACATTATACTAACTAGACACCATCAACAAATTTTCATATCATACACTTATCTAGATTGCATTGGACATTGTATCATTTGATTGAAAGTAGTCTAGAAATATTTTGAATAAGAAAAGAGGGAAGAAGAAAGAGGCTTGGGGTTAGGGGAGAAAGATTCAATCAATTTATTTTTTAATGGGTCTTCTAATTGGGTTTGGGTCATGTTCACTACAATGGGTGGGTAGGGGAAAATTAAATGGGTTGAGATTTAATTTATCCAATAGGAAAATGACATGTAACAAATAATAATAATAATTTTTTAAAAAAAAGTGATTGTTAGTTTTAAGGGTAAAGATGGACCAAAAAAGTGGATGGAGGGGTATTTTTTAGCCCAATAGATGAATGAGGTATATTTTGTCGAGGGGGTTCGGGTGAACACTCTCCCTCCCTTGATTTGCTCATTGATACTATTATTGTTAGTGCAAGAGGAAACTGCTAGGGAAGTTGCCTATGATCTATGTTGGAGCAGATGGGATATAAGATTTTGATTTGATGGGTTCAATTTTTAGATTCTCATCATTGAGCCCGTTATACTTTGAAATTATGGTGGGTTCATGATATTATATTATTAATTAAAATTTTAGTGATTTTTCACATATACTTTTATGATCTGTGTCAAAAATGCAAAGCTTATACTTATATTCGCCATCCGCCCTGTGTAACTGAACATATTACTGTTTATCTTCCATGTAGCAGTGATCCTAAAACCTTTCCTTAT